TTGGCTTTGAATGTATTTTTGGGCTGTGAGTTGCGTTTAAATTTCGTCTCTCTTGTATATTTGTGCTTTCGGCTGACAAACTCATCAATAGCCAAAATAGAAAGCAGATTGAGTTTAAATTATTTTTAGAACGGGACAGCATTACGCCTATAAATACATGCAAAGAGTCAGAGACCCTAATTCTGGTGTCGCTTAAATGGTCCGTGAAGCTTCTTAAATTGATACTTTAATTGAGGCCGATGGACTTATTCATAAAAATATGCGTTTATGCATGAGCACGTAAGAAACACAGTTATTCTTGACGGAGAGAAATACAAATGACTTTGTAAAGCATCCTTCATTTACATTTCTATCGCCTTCAATTGCTTGGCCAATGAGCCAGAGCCAAAGAGTCCCCCATCCAACAGGTTGGCGTCGTCTCCTCTTCGGAGGATGACGAAAGCATAAATACAAGGCCAAGCCAAGGCGATGTCGGGCGCTGAATGTGCGTCATCAGCTAAAACTAGACGCCCACAGAAAAGAAATGAGAAGAGACCCACTCGAATCTCTGTGGTCTACTCGGAGACGGCTCTGCCTTGTGCTCCCCAAAGGCATTTAAGCAAATGGGCGACAAATAAACCAAAACTACCAACTTCTTACAGCACACTAGAGTCATGACAGAAACACACAAAACATTCCCAGAACAATACATTCAATTATCAGGAACAGCTTCCATTCCACTCCCAGTGCTGCCAATTGCTTTCCAATGCCAAAAGCAAGCACTTTGCATAGATGATTTCTGTGCTCCGGTACTACGAAAATGACTCTGAGTGTAAATTCAACTTAAGCTGAGAGTGGAACTTTGTCTGTGCTCGAAGTGTGTCATTGCTGCGTTGTTATTGCTGTTGCCACCAATTATGAGATACAAAAGTTTTGCAGCACAATATTGTTGGTCCAAATGTAATTCGGGCCATGGGCAAAGCTTTGTATCTATATAACATTGATTTTCGAACAGTCGACCTTGGCTAAATCTCAGCTCAACTCCAAGTAGCCGAATGCCTTTTGCGTCAAATTGTCCGTGCTTAACTTGAGCGCATTATCATCTAACTATGACGAAATCATAACAGATACAAGGCGAGCCTGGTGAGGGATCAGGATAATGCTTTGCCTATCGATAAAGTAAACCAAATTGATGGATGGGCGCCAGCGGCGTATAGCTTGCGGTTTTACAAAGAGAGCGCCAGACAAGCTGGCGACAGCAGGCTGCGTGCTGATAAGCCCTCAGGGCTTCAATGCGAGTACTATAAATAGAAAGTTCTTGTTACAAGAGATTTACCAAAGGCTTTGCACATGAGCTGGCCCAAATTAAAGAGCACCAATTCTGTAGACCTTAAAGTTTCCTTACTTCAAGTTGGCCAAGCGGATGGCTTTGCTTCGGCTATCATTGTTGTTGCTATTGGCATTGGCGAGCCGGCGAAAAATTGTAGGTAGGGGGCTGGTCGTAAATGTTTTACTCATTAGCAATGGCGTGAAAAGCTCCATAAATGCCTTCAGTCCATAACAGAGAGCGAAACGCTGCCGACGAATGCAATCAAACTGAAATCGAAAACTAAAGAAACAATACAAATGCCGTTATGATATGAACATAAAAGCCAGCACAAGCGGCTGACTCAACCAAAACCAATTTGTCGGCGCCCAATAAAAACAATAAAAACAATACAAATATTGCTACACTTATTAAAGTGCCCACATTCAGTTTCATGCGTTTTATACGGTTTCATTCAGGCTCTGCGTAATCGTTTTCAGTTTATTTCTTACTTTTTTGCCCCGCTAATGGGCAACAAGTAACACATATGAGCTCAATAAATATCTGTGCAAATATCTGTTGGCAGTCTCATAAATCGTTATATTTATGTCTGTAGCAGTTGATACGGCTCGGCTATATTTGCCAGACATTTTGATGAGCTCATCAGAGCCATATCTTATACATTTAATATAAGCGCACTTAAACGCAATTTCAAATATTTTCGCTGTGGCTCATTAGCTAATTAAAAACAAAACTTGTTCGCTAATGGTAAAAATTGCTTTAATTTGTAATTGTAATAAGTTTTTGTTTGATGTACCTATAAAAAAATAACCAAGCAGTCGACTAGCCTAAGGCCTAGAGTTTAAGTCTAATACAATTTTCTCATGATGATATTATGACCATAGTCTCACATAGAATTTAGCTGGGCAATAAATATATTTTATTTTTCATACATTCATGCAATCGCAACAACAAATGGCATGGAAGTGAACCTTAACGTGGAGATCTATGATTTATTGTGATTTAAATGCGGCTTGTTCTGTGCTCCACTCCAACCGCACTAGAATACGTTTGTTTGGCTGAGCATTCGTTTGATATTGATGGGTTTGTCGACACTTTCAGCACGCTGCATATTGTGACAGCTGTAACGACCTTTGACGCTCGCCGTAAATGTTGCGCCCGGAGCCTTTGGCTTCTATATGCCACTTACGGCGAGCAGTCAAAGTTCAGTTCAGAGATTATGTACTTTTTGTTGTGTCAGCATCATGTGGAAGTACTTCAACAAACATCATAAATCATCGCGCACGGCTTTCCATAAAGGTGAAACGGAAATGCAGTTTGAATAAATATGCGTACACGAGTTTACAATTTATGCCCATGTTGTTTAAAGCGCAGAAACTGCGAAAGAAAATATAAAAATATGAAAAAAAAATTGTAAAATAAGTATACAGTCTTTACAAAACTAATCAAAACATATATTACATTTCAAAATTCACAATTGCGGAAATATGATATTTACAAATCTGTACTTAACAGGAATTTCCCGTTGGGTTAGCAGTAAATAGATGCCGATATCAGCAGCCCTTGCGACCGTTGCTTGTCCGATTTGATTTAAAAATAAATCCTGAAAGCAACTACAATACAATATATCTTTAATCTTCAGCATGGAACGAGCGTAGTTTTAATTAGATACATGGCCGTACAGTGAATCAACAATTGCAGTCATGTGTCACACTAATGATGTTGATGGAATGTGCCCATAGACAGCTGCATAAGATGCTGTTGATGTGCTGTTCGCATGCTCTGAAGGGCAATCGTGTGTGTAGGACAGGGCCATATATCACACATACGCCGCATTGCTCATTACGCATTCGCCCAGTAGTAATCATTTCTGTAAACTGTTTTCGATCTGAGCTTCGTGTGGTTGCGCCCTCGCATTGTTCCAATACCCACGCCCACACACAACGCATATGCGAGGCACGTAGAAGCCTTTTTGTGTCCCACAACAGCAACAGCAACAACAACTGTCCGCCCATCAGAGTCGATGGCAACGTCAACTTGACTCGGCTGTCAGTCAGCTAACAAATGAAGCACCGTTGAGGCTCTGGCAAACTATTTATACGCGGCCAGCAAGGGCGTGGCCGGGGTGTGGCAAGGGAGCGGCTAGGACATCGATGGTATGTGGAAGGTTGCCTCCTTGCCGGGGCCACAGCCTAGCCATTTATGGGCAGCATATTTAAGTCGATTGGCGCCTCTGTTTTGATTAATAGCCCGCGCGACGGGCCCCACCTTGGACAGTGGTCAATGCTTACACTGACGCGCAGAAATATTTGCAATGCCAGCTAAATTGAATCTCGGTAGCTGTTTTGGCCAAATGCGCAACGTTGGCATCATTTCGCGTGCCAGTCGCGTTCCGACGTCTGTCCCTGGGCTAATTGACTGCAAGTTAGCTAATGCCTTGGGGAGGGGTAACTGGCTAACTAGTCAACTAACTAACTGGCTCCACCCCAACATCCTTTGAGCATACACGCTGCGCCTTTTTATCAGCCGTTGCCACACGCACAAACAATTTAGTTTTACTAAGTTGCCAGCTCGCCCTCCCCTGGGTCGCTGTGAATAATGTGCCGGGCTTTGAAGCTGAACGCCAAGAATAGCCAAAGAGGCATGGGACAGCAGACGATGCAGCGACGACGAGGACGAGCATGATGATGATAATGGCCTCGTTTCTATTACTTGCTGCTTGTTGGCCTCTCGCTGCCGTTGTTTTTGATCTTGTTGTTTCTGCTATTCGGGCTTGTTGGCTTAATTGATTTAGTCAGCGCAGCATAGAGTCTAATAGTCGCTCATTATTCGTGTGCAGCAACCACAGCTGCCACAATCGGTCCCTCAGCTGGCAATTAATATTTGCCACCACTGTGTTACACATTTGACACGCGACGCAGAATGTGGAAACCGGTTGAGTAACTCCTCAAACGCCACATTTGCCTACAACACGGCCACAGCTCGCATGCAGTCGGCGACGCCAACGCCAACGCCACTTTGAGCCGGCTCCTCCCAGTGGGCGCAGATTCTCGACTGCCGGCACATGGCCATGAATGGCATCTTATCTCGGCGTTCTGCCAGCGCTGTCAGCGATTGCACTTAAGTGGGACGACATTATAATTATTCATTCGCCGATCAACTAGTAAGAAATTTCAAGAATCTTGATTAAATAATCGAATCCCTGTCCTGATACCCTATATGTTCCACAGTTCCATAGGCACTATATACTTGCATTCACTACATAAAATATCTGTAAGAAATAATGATTAACTTAAGCAAACTCTAGAAATAGCTTGTTGCACATAATTAACTAAATACATTACAGGGTAACCATGGAGTCATACTGCCTTTGGGGTGTAGCCCTAGCAGAACAAGAATTCATTCATTCAACTATTGATCTGAGAAAACCTTACTGCGTATTTGATTGAACGGGTGCTGTGAACTGAGTTGCGCATATTAACGCGATCATTGTGCGATGTGTAATTGCTGCTCGATATTATATTGTAATAGTGGATTTTGCTCTAATTAACTGGGATCGAACTTGATTTATGCGGTTGCATGGCTGCCGTAGAAGTAGAAGCCGATACCATTTATAGACAATGGCGCCGCTTTTAGCCCAGTTCCAATTAATCAAGCAAACGGCTGAAAGATCATATATAAACAATGTTAGGGCATTGCCAATGGAGTTAGTTCCAGCTCAGCCTCAGCGGAGATCGGACTCAAAAGGGACAATAAATTTCCAATTGAATTGCTCGGCAATATGCGAACAACAGCGGTAAGCAATTAATTGAATTCAATTAATGCCTGTTTCGCAGATTGAACATCATTTACACCTGCAGCTGCTGCTGGCGCTCGTGGGCGTATGGGCTGCCCACCGTATTGATGGGGGCATGGCGCATGTTGTGCCATTAACACTGCCAGTGGCAGGCACTTATTTGGTGGCACAGGCTTCGCCTGTTCTGCTGCTGGTGCAGCCGCCAGAGGATGATGGCAGCTATAAGCCGCCAAATGGCGCCGATGATGGACTGTGGAAGCCGCAGCCCGGCCTGGAGGGCGAATATGTGGAGTCCTCCACGGGCAGTGGCAATGCGATTGAAGAGGCTTCCTCTGCGGCTGCTAATGCTGCTGATGAAGCTGGTTCAAGTGAGGCAGATGCTGCTGCGGCTTCTGCGGCCGCTTCTGGGGACAAGGGTGGTGATGGTGGTGCTGGTGGTGGCGGTGGTGGCGGCGGTGGCGGCGCAGGACAGGCAGGACAAGCCGGTGGCATTTTAGGCGGTGCTGGTGGCAGTGGCGGTTCTGGTGGCAAAGGCAGTGCCGGTGGTGGCGGCGCTGGAGGTGGCGGCGGTGGCGGTGGTACATTGACATCCGGCGACAGCGGAAAAAATGGAGAGCCTGGTGGACCCAGTCTAGCTGGTGCACAGCCGGATGGCGAAGATGGTGCGGATGGAGCAGATGGACCCGACGGACCGGACGGCTCCAAAGGCGGCAAAGGTGGCAAAGGCGGCAAGGGAGCACGTAATGGTGCCGGAGGCGGCGGTGGTGGCGGTGGCGCTGCACCTCAACCAGCCCCGGCTGCTGCTCTACTTCCGGCCCCCGTCTGGCAACAGCCGGAACTCAATTCGATGTAAGTAGGATAGACCAGAATTTATTACAAAAATTGCTCAAATCCTGTATCCTTGCAGCGCCGTGGCCTAACCAACAGTCCCGTGTCTTCAGCAACAAGTTTAACGTAGTCGTTTAAGTCTCTTTTAGCCATAGGACTAGTCAATTGTGCCAGAATCAAGCAAGCGAATATTAAAATTCGAGAATGCCCAAAACGCAACCACTGCTGTTTGCATATGCACCCGGGTGGTAAACTCTTGCCCAGAAAGAAATGTGAGGTCCTTTAGTGCTTGCAATAAATCTGCGTACTTTACAAACTCTCCTGCAGCAGCTGGACAAAGTTTGTAGCCTAGCAGCATCTGTTTGACATCTAAAATAACAATGCACATTAAAATTCATATTTACTTTGGCCAGCAGCTCTCTCTCTCTCTCTCTCTCTCTCTCTCTCTCTCACTCTCACTCTTCCTGTCATATAGTTATTGGCTCTCTCCCACTGACATTCTCTTTCAATCCCACATTGTTTCTCTGACACCAACCAATTTATGTGTAATCCTAAACTCTTCTCAAACGGCAATAAATAAGCATATCCTACACGTGTGCCCCAACTACATATGTATGTATGCATGTTAAAGTTCAAGGATTCATTGTGACTGCTCTTGGCTTTATTTACTGTGCATCAATGTGTGTCATAGCATTAAGCTTTTGACAGCAGCGTTCAACAGCATCGTAAATTTATCGCATGCCTAAAAGCAGGCAACACAAATTTTCACATCATCTACCCCTCAAAAAAGAGAAAGCGAGATAGAGAGACAGCTGCCGTTACGATATTTAGTTTAATTAAATAAAATGTCAACCGCAAATTGACAATTTTAGATATTTTTCATATTGTTTGCCATGCATCAGTCTGCTGCTGCTGCTGCATATGCAACAAATTGCAAGTTTATTGCATCGCACGTTCAACTCAAAATGAAGTGAATACAGCAGCCAAAATCAATTTTCTGCTGTTGCTGTTGCCGTTGCTGTCGCTGCTCCTGCACCGAGCATATTTCCACAGCAGGATTTGGCAGAAGAGTGAAAAGGAAGCCCGTAGAAACCGTCTGCCACGCAGCAATCAGCAATCCGAAATCGCATTTCACATTATCCGCTGCTTACTTTGTTGTGCAAATGCGCGAAACGTTTCCAGTATTTGCAGCAGCAAATTTTGTTGCATTATCTCTACGTATTGTTTCAGTTTGTTGCTGCTGCCAGTTATTCGGCGGTAATGTATCTCTGTTATTTGTGTGTGCTCTTTTGTTTCAGATAATTACGCAAAAGTGTAAAATTTTTGAGAGAGATATCCAATGCCACGTAATGCACTGACTTAGCTTCATTTATCAGCACACACATTTAAAGCAAAAAAATTATTAAATTAAAGACATAGCTCATCTAAACTTATCACTCCTCGGCTTACTTATTTGAACTTAATAAACAGATTTTATGATGAATCAGTGAGAGAGATAATACAATTGTTTAAATTAACTCTGAGCGTAGCATTCTAATTAGCAATATTTATGAGGTTAGATATGCATTTTTTCCATATGCTGAATATATTTGCATAAAAACCGTATACCCTAATTAAGCGTTTACAGGAACATATGCTGGAGTCTGGCCACTTCGCTGACCTGTTTACGTTGCTTAAAACAGAAAGAGAAAACACACAAATAAATGGAATTTAATTAAAGCTAACAAATCTAGGGGCAATCAGCTCTGTAGAGGAGAGGCTGAGGAGATTTTTAATTAATGTGCGTTAGCTACACAATCCAGCAACTTTCAGTCTGAGCCTTGACTGTAATTACAATAGTTTGGATTTTATTTCAACACTTTAGTTTATTTACATACATATATTCAAATTGGATCAATTAGGCCATAAATTAAGGCCTTAACCACAAATTAAATTGAAGTAAATACTGAAAACCGCTTCAACAAATATATGCAAAACGCTGCATGAAAACGCCTACCACAAAATAAAATGCGAAAAAGTAGTGTATATCAATTTGGCGCAGATAGGAGAGAACCAACTGTCGAAAATGGCTTAGTAATTGTGTTGTTTTATACAAATTGTTGGCTGGCATTTGTTTGCTTAACGGTTCTCGTTGCTGTTGTTGTTGGTGCTGGTGCTACCAAATTGGTCGCTGGGCTGGAAGTGACCCTCCAATTAAACGAGGCTCTCGCCCAACTGATTGCCAAATTGGCGGTGCATGCAAATGAGCCGCGAAGCGCCAACAAAAGAGTTCTTCGAATACTATGAAATATGAAAATTCAGAAATTATAAAAATATAAAAAAAAAAAAATAAAAGAAAAACAATGAAGTAAATCGTGGCAAGAAGCAAGCAGCCACCTCGCTGCCACTTGTGCAAATCAACGCCGAAAATTGCAATAATAAAGTTGGCAAAAATGATTTGCGCCAACAGCAATAGCAGCAACAACAACAACAACAGCCACAACAACAGCAACAGCAAAAGGCACCAACATCAACAATGTAGCACATTCACTTTTGACGTGGGGTTGGCCACGCCTCACACTTGTGGCAAGCTGCACAAACGTTGCGGTCATGCTACCGTTGCAACGCCTGCAACAACAGCAACATTTGCGGCTGCCCCACTATCTGGGCTGACCATTTAAGCGGCTGCTCGCAATTTAAATAATTTCAATTGCACTTTATTGTTTTTGCTCGGGCATAATTAAATTAGATTTCATCGAGCCAAAGACGTGATCCTTAACTACACCTGTCTCTGGCGAAGGTCACTCGAGTGAGCTCAAATACGGATTTGCTGCCAAATGCACCTCTAATTAAATAGCTCAATTTGATTGCCTTTGCGACCCAGCCAGCCTAAGCCCGTTAAATGGCCTTTTCAGCCGGCCAGCTTGGCATCGGGTTGCTTTTTTGGGGCTCCGTGACCCTTCCGTTATTTATGCGAATCGAACAGTGTTGGCCACTTGTGCTCTGACCTTTGCGTGTGCGGCGTAGATTGTTAATTTTTAATTAGTCGTTAGCCACGTTGGGCATTCCCTTTAATTGACGTCGAGCCGCCAAGGTTATTGATTAGTGCAAAGGTTGCATTTCAATTTATGGCCCACCGACATGAGGTGTACAAATTAATTCCAGCCCGAGGCCGACGCCAAACAGTCACACAAATTGAAGAGCACCCACGTTGTGTTAGTACATATTTGTTACTGAATTACCCGCAAATAGCCCGGAGCAAATCCACACAGCGGGAGCGATGCATGATGCGAAAATTCGCAGTCTGTAAACTGGAAATAGTGCAAGTTCGATTTTCCGCATTTGATTGATTGCTTGTCTCTTTCACTGAGAGCCTTTGGATGCCATTCAATGGAGACCCCACACGTCCCCTCCACAGCCCACACCCCACACTTCACACACACACTTTTGCATTCCTGCTCAATGGCATATGCACATTTCACTCGAAGCACTGCAGCTACATACGTGTGCATTCATCTTCGAATGTTCACATATTTGCGATTCTAGCGAGTATTCTTAGCTGGATATATACCAACATATACCTATACATATACGTATATGTATGCATGTGCACAATTACGACAAGCCGAGCACAAGGCTTGCACTCTTTAACATTCTGATGGAATTTCAATGGAATGCGTACTAATGTTATAAAATGTGAATTGCAATTCAGATAGATAAATACTAGCTCAGTCGAGGAAGAGGAAAAGCTAAAATGCTGTGAAGTCCACAGTTTGCAATTCTTGGAATGAAACAGAAACTAAAAGAGTTCCAGAGCTCTCCATTTGAATGAGTTGCATTTTATTCAATTTAATTTCGATTGTTTCCTCAGAACTTTGTATTAAAATAAAAGTAAGACTGCATTTTATGATAATCATATTTTTTCCAATAATTTTTTGTTAAACATTAAAAAAAAATCACTGAAAATAGCATAATTATTATTTACATATTTAGCGGTTTCCAATTAAAACGATTCCGTGTTCAAATACTTTTTTGCAGTTTATTTGTCTGTTTGCAGTTTCATATAAAATATAGATACATCATAACTCGTACAAGATTCATTGAAAGTTACAACAATTATTTACAACATGCTGGTTCAGAGTTGCTTAAAGCAAAGTTAGATTGAGGAGTTATAGACAAAGGAAATCAGAAAAGTTGATGTCGGTTGAGGACAGAAAGAGTTATACAGTATAAGAACAGTATAAGTAGAGCGTAAGAGCTGAAAATAATCATTGATGGTTCAAGAGTTGAACAGGATGAGAAATACTACTCGAAGCGATCCGGTGAGTTGGCGGGCAAGTGAGACAGCTGCTCAGATCTCCCGTGTGTAGTCCTTTCCCGATCGAGATGACAGGGATGTAGATATGTAGTTGCAGATAGTTAGACAGGTGGCGTGAAAGAGACAGCTGCCTTCGGTAGTCGTTAGAGAGTCGGGCAGATTATGTAAAAGAGCTCGTCGTTATCGTTGTGGTGAATGGCAGACTCTGGCAGATCCTCGACTTAGTAGTGGTTGTACTGCTCACGGTACTGGCCATCATCCTCGTGCGCAGAGCCACCGTAGTAGCCACCGTGGGAGGCAGCACCGTGACTGGCCGCTGCCAAGGCGCTCAGATGCGCGGCACGGGCATGCTGCACCTCGGCGGGCTCGACGGGGACACCGTTGTGGATGACCGGGATGTGGATGGGACCCTTATGCGCATAGCCGGAGGAGTAGCTCTGGGCGTGGCTATCGTGGCTGGCATCCCAGCGACCGTCATAGCGACCATCGTCCCAGGAGCTGTGGGAGCTGCTGGCCGCGGAGGCCTGAGAGAGAGCGGCAAAGTGGGCGGCCTTGGCGTGCTGCACTTCGGGTGTATCGACGGGCACGCCGTTGTGGATCACAGGCACATGGTAGCCACCGTGGGCAATGGGAGCGATGACATGACCGGAACGAGCGGCAGCGTGGGCAGCAAAGTGAGCGGCCTTGGCGTGTTGAACCTCGGGAGTCTCGACGGGAGTGCCACGGGC